TAAGGCATTTGAATTAGTAGCATGCAATGTGCTCATTAAAAAGTAATCACTCTTCTCTGTCAATAAAGCACACAAGTAACAAATTAGGAATTGCTGCAGGGATCTTAAAAGCCACATCCACAGGGGAGTACCTGCAGTGCTTCTGGTGTGGTGATACTTTGCCATTTGCAACAGAGCCATTTCCCTTTGCTGCCTCGCCTTGGGGAAGGGGCTCTTTCCTAAACAGCTGCTCATCGTCACCTCTGTACAACTTACATGCTGTGCCAGCATCTCCCTGTGGGTGCTCACACAATAAACTCAACCAGAAAACATATCCAGTTTAAAAGTAATCTAGCGATACCTTACCCTGAAAGCCCAGACACAGTTTATGAGGCTTTTCAATCAAGGCCATGTTGGATGGGGCTTTGATCAGCCTGGTCTAGTAGAAGGTGTCCCTGCCCATGACAGAAAGGTCACAACTGGATAATCCTTAAGGGCCCTTCCAACCCAAATCATTCTATAATTCTATGTCAGTAACTTGAACCACTTTGCCATGTGAATACACAAGAGCTTGAACTAAAGAAGTAACAAGTAGAAAAAAAGCAAAGGAGGAGATGGGGAAAAAAAAAACAAACAACTAAACAAAACCAAAAAAAACCCACCAAAAAAACCTCAGTGTAGAAATTGATATAAAATCAGCATTCCTAAAAAGTGCAGGTGATCAAAGGCTTTATGCTAATTACTAAGGATTGAACATATCATTTAGGCTGTGTGATCTGCATCATTTGTGCGAGGCCGGGTTTATTGCAAGAAAAAGCATTCCAACATTTCCATAGCAAGGTTTGCATCTAGAAACAAGATTAAGAGGCCATCCCTAGGGACTGCCCTGGGAAACCACAAGCCTAAAGAGGACTGAGACCCAGAGCAGGTGTGCAATGCAGCAAGTGCCTCTGAATGATCCAGCAATCATGGCTAATCAGCCCTTCTGATGAGTGAACAGCAGAGCAGAAAGTGGGAATAAAGAGAGACATGGTTTTACTTTTAGGAGTGTCACAGGTGACACTGTTACGAGATTGCAACCTTTGGTATGCCCATGTTTCAAAAGATATCCTTTAAAAATTAGAGAACACACAGAAAACCTTCAAGGACATTTTAAAGATGGGTGAAAAATGAAATCTTACTATAAGGAATTAAAAGGCTGGTGTGTTAGTTTAACAGCAAAGAGATTCAGAAACATCAGTACTTTCATAGGGGAAAAAAATACCAGGTCCCCAAAGTCTCCTTGACCCCCTGAGGAGGGAAAGGACATGGAGAACAAGTGGCTAGAAGCAGAAACATGACAAGCTGTAAATCAGACACAAGTTGGTTCACATAATGAACAGCCATAGAAAGGGACAGGTGATTCTCCATCTCCTTATGTATTCAAACCAGGGTTAAATGCTTTTGGGGAAAACAAGACTTAAACAATCAATATATTGGATTCTACAAAGGACAAGGAAGGAAATTAAATTGCTTGTAATAATAAAGATACCAAACTACCTAATCTAATAACCTTTATCAAATTGAGGTTGAACAGGAGAATAAACGATGTTGGTGTTCTATCAGAACATCCAGAAGAGAGATGAGATCTAAATGCTCATTTAGCATTTAAATTTAATAACATTAAAACACTTTTTGGGAAGCTTTTTAGCCTGATAGCACAGGAAACTAAAGCCCTTTTTCCATTCAAAATGTACCTCCTGAGCAGTGGGTCCAGCTTGCTGCCACCCCTCCAGGGCCAGAGAACACTTGTGGGAATATCCAGCCCTATAGGGCCAGTTTCAACCCTGGCTCAGAGAAAAACAGGAGCCTGTGCCCAATCCACTGTCTGTGATGGAAAGCTCTGTCCAGACCAACTGCCTCCCCTTTCCACCATACTTACATAAATACTGAGTTTTTAATAACCATTTCAGTCTCACAGCAACCTTTTTAGTGTTTTCCCTGAGAAAGAGCAACCTCGGCACTGCCAGTTCAGCTGCCATGCACATTGGCAATTTGCCTTTACGTGCATCTTGGTTATTGGCCAAAAGGCTTTTAAATATCTGCAAAAATGAGGGCTCTTTTGTTTATGGTGGCTGAGTCTTTGCAGGCAGATCTTACTCCTTCCCCTCAGCTCCAGTATTTCTTTGGCTTTTTTTTATCCTCTACTAAAGTAATCTAGAAATTTTAAGAGAAAGTTTTCATTTGGAAACTGTGATTGAATCAAAACATTCAACAAGAATGTGTTGCTTAACACACACACACACACACACACACACACACACACACAAAGCTGAGCAGTTACAGTAATTCCTTCCAACAAGGTAGGCGTGATGTGCACCATTTCTAATGTTAGCTGGCAGGTTTTGGAAACAGAACTCATTTAAAATTTGAATGAATTCCTGTGTGTTCATATTTTATGTAAATAATCAAAATGATACAGCTGAAATAAGAGTTTTAGTGGCTCTAAAATTAATGTCCCTTAGATTCCATTTCACAGGAAATGAAGTTTCTGATTCAAGCCAAAAAGAAAACTTTGAAATGGCCGGATTTCCCGTGAGCCTGAAAGTGAGCTTTTGGCAGGTCTGCCCTTTACTGAAGCAATGAGCAATCATGACATTCTCACAGAGCTCGTGAATCCATCTATTTTCCCCAATACACCCAAGGTTCACACATCATCCAAGAAAACGTATGTTCCTATGTTACTAATCCATGCCTGGCCCACATTTCCCAGTTTTCCTTTGACTGTGGTAGATGTGTCCACACCACATGACCAGGTCTTGCTGGAATGCAGAAGCCCAGCTCTGCCCAAGTCTGCTCCCCATGTGGCAGCAGAGCTCCTGTCAGCCTCACACACACACTGGCTGCCATCCCAACCAACTCAGGTAGCAAATGAACTGCCTTCATGGTAAAAATATGTTTAACTTTCTTCACCCTGCTTTGATACAGAAACTTGCTTTGCATGTCTGTCCTGCTGAACAGCCATGAGGTTTGCCCCTCGCTGTGATCGGAGCTGACACCTGCCGTTTCACAAGGAGGTTGTACAAACGCGGAGGGTTGGGAATTTTCTTATTCTTCCCAGGCAGAATCTAACCACTTCCGAGCTGCCTGCTCTGTGTCCACCAGCTGTCTGCCCCCATGACAGTCAGTTGTGACAAGCAAGGCAGATATGCACTTCATTGTCTCCCCTGACTCACATTTGACAGAAAGAACTAATATCTCAGGTGCACAAGGAAAACCAATTAAAAAATCCAAGTGACTGGTTTGCCTTTGTTTGCAGGTATTTAGCTGCCATTAATATCACCATGAGCCATGCACATGTACCAAAGAGAAATACCGCCCCCCATCCTCATTTCTTAATGCTACAACACTTGGAATTCAGTCACAACCTTCACTCTTAGACTGAGCTCTCTGATGGCTCAAGATATCTTTTTAAGAACATCAGTTAGGAAGGAATTTTAACAGGGATCCTGAAGAGGGTTCATCAAAATATTGCAACAGTTCTGCAGACCGGAATACTGACATTCATGATAGCCTAAAGAAAAATCGACTTTTCATGTGCAAAAAAAAAAAGAAGTTAAAGGAATTTATTGATCACAGCTGACAGGTATCTATGCAAGGAAGGAATTATCTGGCAACAGATGGGCCTATAATAATAATACCCTGACAACTTGCCTTTTAGTCCATGCTTTTCATGAGTAAATCATAAAGCACTTTATGAATGAGGTCAAACACCTAGGCAGAAAACGCAGAATAAGATGTAATGGTTAGAAGCCAAAGCCAAAGAAATATAAAGCAAGAAGTAAGTCACACTCCATTTGTTCTTTTATCAGTCATAACAGTGGATGATTAACAAATCCAGGAATTTGCCTGCAAACACAATATTCTACATCATTTGTAGTGCTAAAGGAAGGATCTCAAATATGTTAGCAGTCAAAAAGAATATTATAAAATTAAGAAAATTATTAGCTGAGGTTGTTTACCTCAGGTGAAGGAAATGAGGTAAACACAGAAATAACTTTTCCCCCTGAAAAATCTACAAATCTACTGCATTTCCCATTGGCTCCAGCATGCCTACCTACCCACTTGTCCATGTTCTAACACGGTGGTGAAGCCACAAATCCCGCAATGTTTAATGTTACCTGGTGCCTTTATTAGGCATCAGATTTGATAAGCCAGAGACTGAATGTCCAGGTAGACTAACCCGATGTCCAAAAACCTGAAGCACATCTCTGCTGGAATTCAACCACACAGGCAGGTCAAACAGTGAGATTCTTCATTGCTTCCAAGTGAAGTCAATGCAACCTGGGCACAATAGCACTTCCAAGATGTCAGGTCTACATCTTTTTACAAACCTGAAGGGCTATAAAATGACTAATCATCTCTTTAAATCAACCAGTGTATCCTAGACCCACTTCTGCCATAGGCTGGTGACCAGATGGGAAAAACTGAATATACTGCACATCTCAAATCCAGTTACTTCAGTGTTTAAAAGTTTCCTGAACTCTTTGGCACACCTCAAACACACACACACACACAATCACATATTTTCCACTTTGCTAAGAAAGAAACCTTCCTGAGTTTCACTTTTCTGCAGCTGCTCTTCAGAAAAATGTTGTTGGTACAGCATCCACTCCATCATTTGATGCTGGCCTCAGTGGTCAGGTCTGAAAACCCTCCAGAGCAGAGAAGCCTGTGTGGTGTTCATAACAAGGTCTTCACCATGAGTGAGCATTTGAGATCTATTGTAAAATTAATACTTTTAGAAATAGAGGGCTTATTGTTCAGTATGGCCTGTGCAAAGTTAGCAGATGACAGAACCTGTATTGCTCAAAAGGCAGCAGCCTTGCATATTGAGCCCTTCCCAGACAAATCCCAAAGGTTTCAAAGACCCACATTACCACAACATGCACTTTTAAATGTTGTGGTTGAGTAATTTTGCAAGTGAACTCCGGTCCCACTGGGAATCACCGGCTTATACAAACAAGCCAAAGTCCAAAAAGAGATAATGGATTGAGCAAAGGGCAGAATGTGGATGCAGGGAGGAAAGGAAGAAAGCAGGATAAATAAGCTCCACACTTGAAGATCTGAAGGATCTTGCTCACTTCATCTGTTGCAGAGGAAAATGCACACGAGTTACTTACTTTCGGTGTTTGTGAAGGAGCTGCCTGGCTATATTCTCTTTGCTGGGGTCTTTATGCCCATGGCTTTACTCCTGCTGCTAATTGCCTTCTTCAGGCTCAAACTAACAGAAGGTGAGTCAGGACTTGGGGGCACTGAATGGGTAGGCAGAGAGAACTTCTCAATTCAACAGGCTTTTAGGCTTGTACCATTAACTAAACTGAAGTATGATATTTTACGAAGTTGTACTGCATTTTAGATCATTTCCTCTTTGAAAAATGTTACGGGAATTTGCTCACAACTTGGACTGGAATCTCACTCAAAACTCTGTAGATTTAGGTACCATACTGTAGATTTTACTACACTACACTATAGAAAGGACAACCAAAATGGAGAAAAATAATGAGGTAGTTAAAGTACAGATAATTTTCCTCTGTGCTTTCACGATGCAAGTGTTCAGTGAGGCAGGTTAGAGAAGCTACATCCTGTAAGTAGCTGGTTATTGAGTGCACATCTTTGTTCTTTGAAAGGTACATATTTGCTTTTACTTTGTGCCTGAATCCATGTTTGCCATGTTGCCTCTTCTATTTTAAAATCAGCTTATACTCACTTCAAACTTCTATCTTCAGAGAAAAAACAAGAAACATCCCCACGCAAGTAAATGCAGCATGAGTGTAACACACCCGGGTACTGCAAACCAAGGCTGCTCGCAAAAAAAGACACCGAGCTACCACCACAGCAGGAGGGGAGTTTTAGATGGAAACCCCTGTACATCAGATCATACAGTTTTAATGGGATGACCCTCATACCTTCAGCCTTGGGTCCCAGCTGCAGCAGCAGATTCACACATGCTCTGCTTTTGTTTTAGGCTTCCAGCTGCTAAGGTCAGGCCCAGGGCACGTTCAGATCAGAGTCCTCATCCTTTCTTTCCTTCAGCCCTGCCAAAACATGTTGTTGCAGGCACTTGGCTAAGCTTGTTCCTCAAACTGGCTGCCTTTTGAACCTTTTCTCCATAGGGAGCACTAGGGAAGCTAAGATGACATCCTAGTTTTCCTCTCTGAAATTCATATGCTTCCTGGTACAGCTTAGTGAGAACCCTGCTCACGACAATGGTCCACAATGCACGCACTGTAGGTTTCAGCTCTAGCAGCTCATCTGTGATCTCAAAAGCAGCCTTGTCTAGAGCAGGCAGGACAATCCTGGCCACAGAGCTCTGCAGATAAACCCTGAGCTGGCCCAAGATGCATCGGCCCCACAGGAGAAGGCTAAGTGTACCCATCAGCACAAGGCTAGGGAAGGACCCTTATCTAGATGCCAGATCAAGTACTGCGATTGCACATTAATTGTTTGCTCTATCCTGCAGCTTCTGAAATCCTAAAAATTGGGCAATTTAACACAGTACTAAAAGTAAAAAGGTCACACCTTGAAACACAGAATGAATTAACTTTAGATCCTACCCTTTACAGAGAGGGAAAGGTGTTTGTTTGCATACAGGCATACACCACAAGTTACCTTCAGGCTGCTAAAACTCAGACATTTCCTGTTCAAGATGTGCTTTCAGATGCTGAATTGATCAACTAGGGAAGCCTGTGCTGTATACCTAACCCAGCTCTGACTTCAGTTATGTATTATCCTTACAGCAAGGTGCTGACAGTTTTTCCCACACTAATAAACAACCACCAAAAAGTAGTTTGGTGCCAAGAACATCAAGCAATTCAGTACCTGAGGGAATAGGAAGGCTAAATGTTGAGAGCTCTTTCATTAAAATGGTTGAAATGGAAACTAATTCAACTATTGCATTAGACTTTGGATACAAGCGCGGATTTTCCCTTGTAGCAATTAAACACCTGTGTCCGTCTGCTATGGACATTACTTATTACAAAATAATACTGAGACACTCATTTGTCCCTGGTGATGCTCTTGCTTTTCTGTTCCAGCTGGGATCAAGCAAGACAGGAAAAGCAGGTGGGTTACAGATCTCATCAGTCCAGGTACTTTGCTGAGGCTCAGACTATACTTTCATTAAGCCAAAAGAGCCCATCTGAAAAGACACATACAAACATTCACATTCATGCTGAGCAAACAACTACTGAAACAAACTGGCCTGTCTCCTTTTCACAGAGTCCACATCCTCCGTAGCTGCACTTTCTGCAGGTCTGTAAATAATCAGCAGAACCCAGTGTCAAATCCTGCTTTCTTCAAGCACAGAATTTTTAGCTTTGCACTTGCAGCGAGTTAAAGTAAGCAAGAATTTCCTAAACTTTCTTAAAGCAATCAAGGCTTTAAGAGAGAAAGGTGAATAAAGTAATTGACAGACTAATTTGCCAAAGGAATATTGCTTCTGTGCTTCTCACATGTCTGAATGCTTGCAGGGAATTACATCTGGCTGTTCAGTACCTCAGGGAAGGAGATTCTCAGCTTGCAGATCTCAGGTGTTATGGGTGGGATTCTCAAAAGGATGCAGGATGAATTCATGTCTATTTAATAGTTTGAGTACCACAGTCCCAAGTCTACCTCCAAGCCCTTCTTTTGCTTAATCTGAGATAGGCAGAGTCTAACCTACCATGTAGGCCTCCAGCTAATTCACACAGCCAATCCCAAGCAGCATTCCCTATACAGGCAAAAGAGCCAGCTTCACCTTATCAGGTGAGCAAAATGCCTAATCACAGAGAAACCTGAGAACAGAGTCCTGTAAATACCAACGCTTCCTCTCTTTGACAAAACCTCAGAAATTCAGCAGGCTTAGGTGCCTATTTCCTTAGATCTCAAAAACAAAGAAAAAAAATCAAATTTGCATTATTAAAAGCAAGGTTCATTTTCCTCTGTGCATCAAGAGAGAGGCTTCACGTAAATAAACTCCACCTTAGCATCAAAACAGCACACAATTCTCCAAGCTAATGCACCCTGAAAAAGTGTTTTATGCTAACTGGATTTTTCTTATTATTTTCTTCATTTTGTTTTTTCGCCATCCCACTCCAAATACTCCCCAAGCTCTCATGACAGTCTCTGATGACACAGTCCTTTTGTGAAGATTCCAGGTTACAGGGGCAGAGTTCATTTTTCTGTTCTGTATGTACCATGGGCAGCATCAGGACCAGGCCAATTTGAGGCTCTCATGGCACTGCCACAGTAAAGCAGAATGCGAATTGCCAGTACAAGCTAACTGCTCACCTTGCTGTTACTTAGAGATTTTATTCTGATTGGAAGCAAATGAGAATAGTGTATTTCTGTTGATGTCAATCTTCACTGGTCATAGAAGCACAGTCCCATTCTCAAAACTCGGACGACTTCCTTCTAGGAGAATGGGCAAACTGTACAAACATGCTACTTAGGTACCTTCCATCTCATAACATTAGCTTCTACTAATATACACCAGCTCCTTTTCTTTATAAAAATTCACCACAGCAAATTAGCCCATCTTCATGGAATTTTGTGTTGTTGGTTTATTTTTCAGTGGATGAGGAACCAGCCATGGCAGAAGACCTCATAAATGTCCTCCTAAATTACCAGGGCCAGCGGCAGAAATCCAGGAGATCTGGACAAAACCAGAACAAATACAAGAACCAAAGGAAATTTCAGGGAGTCTCACATCTCAGGAAGCAAGCTTAAATCCAGTATGCAGCTCTGAAGGTTTAAAAATAACTAGCTGGAGATAAATACCATGGAGGAAAACAAATCAGCAAGGAAGAAAAAAATAATCAGTGCTGTGCTGTACAAATGAAAGAGCTGCTGCTGTACAGGTTTTGTAACAGGTTTTGCTTTCTCACATGAGGCCAAGCAAAGTACTTTATGGAACTCATCAGGCACCAGAGACCTCCTACAACATTCTGTGTCAGTTAGGATCTGGGGAGAGGGAAAGCACCTTGCTTGCTAGCCCCTGCCTAGTCTACTAAGAAAGCTGTATAACAAGCTCCTGAGAGAGCTGAGCTGGCGCATACAAGGAAGGCAGTCTTATTAAACTGAAGATGCAGAAATAGCAAGTTCATTACAAGAACTGATGTCTAAGGAATTGAGAAGGGTAATGAAGGGGAACTGACTTTTTCATTAGTTTGAACACTTTGGGGAAGATCGTAAGTTTTTGTTAAGTATGCAAAATATAATAGTGACGGGAAACAAAAGGACTTCTCTCTGCTGAATGACCATGCCAGTTTTTGAAACCATGAAAAGATGCAGTCAGTATTCTGTAAACCAGCTAATTATTATTCTAGTTTAAAGACAAATGGATGATTTTTAAAATAAACACCCTCATTGAGTTTTCTTTCTTTGCATTTCATACCTCAGACAAAAAAAATCTGCCTCTCCCCCCTTTGCTGTAGATGTATAATTTTTAGTACACCCTAGATTAGCTGTGGCAGATGGCCCACAAAAACATAACCCGGACTGTTTGAAAGCACTATTGCCTTTTAGTTTCTGTTTCTTAAGTTTAACCCAAGCTGATAAAGAATGAGAAGTGACTCTTCTGTCCATGACACTCAATATCCCTATCTGCTAGCAACTGTTGTCTGCAATTACCTTCCATTACAGCTGTTTGTCATTACCCACCCTGCAAAAACAAGGGGATAATGCCTTGTCTGAGATTATGTGTGGTTTTGCACAATTTTGGTTCTCATAGACTCAAGAACTCCTCTGAATTATTTGATTAAAAAGATTAATGAGACCATGACCACAGATTTAAGAAACACTGCAATTTATCAAAGTCTGCAAGAAAACAGGAGTTAAACAGCATGTACATTTACTATATGTACCTGTCCCCTATCACATTCTATCTTATTTTTTTAAATATTTAAGTCATCACACTGGTTTACATCTGTGCAAGTAATACATTTCATCGAACAGGCGAAGATCCAACTGTTACTTCAAAAAAGGTACCTGTACATTTGTATAATAAAGATAAAAGTTAGGATGCTTAAATGCAAGTACCTCTAATTAAATCTAGTAGTCTCTTTTTAGGTTCCCAAAAGAATTACCTGTTTGAAAGTGCGAAGTGCTTTGTGGTTCCATTTGAAATCAACAGAAGGTGCTGGGTGGAAAAAGCCTTTATTCAGAAGTCACAGCATTGACTTGAACATCAAAAGTTATAAACACAAGATAGATGTATGGAATTTGACTTCAAACGAAGCGACCCTGTAAGACAACCACAGCCAAACCCAGAAGAGTAAAAACAGAAAAAACAAGTTTATCTCAGTCAGCTGGCATAGGAATCTCCAGTTCAGCCGCAGCGCTCCTCACCTCCAGCTGGCAATTCACTTGGATGCACATTAAGAGGTTCTCCATGTGTTTCAGGATGCCCCACCTGTGATTATGCCAGAAGTCTTTACCCAATATTTTGCAATCAAAAGAATAAAGACACTGTTCTCATTTTACTTTTCATATATACTTGTTCTTCCCACTAAGAGAAAAGCACGCAGTCCTTTGGTTCTTAAACTTCACACCAATAATTTCACTTGACTAGCAACAAACATGATCTGTTTCAGACAGCAAAAGGAAAAAGGCATTCCAAAGGCAGCTCTCAAATAGAAAAATCACAGTAGCTCCCTATCACCCAGCTGTTGAGTGGATATTACATGCATAGCTACTCAGGACATCTGGGAGCACCTCCTTCCTGAGCTCCTCTCTTACCTGGACTTTTACATTGCCTGGCAGGCCTAATACACCACAGCTCAAAGCAGCACACACTTTCTTTACAACTAGTACATCCAGACACGAATGTAAAGGTAGAGGTCTGTTCTCCTGTTTCCAGTTTCTTCAGCATCGATTTTCCTTCCTGTTCAGCTGTGATTTTGAAGATCAAACAGACCACAGATAGTAGAGAGCCAAAAGCTAAAACTAGGTATAACATGGTGTCTAAGGAGAGAGACCTGAGACAGTGATTCTAATGATCCACCTCTGCTTACAGCTGTCTCAGCTAGAAAACCCATGGTACAGAATCGATGAGTCTGACCTGCTGGCCTCCTGCCATGTCTGTGTTCTGTACCTCTCAAGAGGTATGTTATTTCATCATTTGCTATTTAAGAGTCCAACATATTCCTCAGAAGGAATATGTTCTTAGAAGGAATATGTCCCTAGAAGGAATTCCTAGAAGGAATATTCCCTACAACGAATATGTTCCTCAGCTAGTATAGGTCCTTGCAACACAGTCATACTGTCAAATGATTTAATATCCTGTGCTGTGGAACAGTTCATGTTTTCCTACATAATCCTTAGATAACAAATTTTTGCTTTAAGTAAACCCACAGCTTTTAAAAGGAGCAAATTCTTCAGCCACAGCAGAGAAACTACTGCTTACCTGAGTACATAAACTTCAATGATATTGGTATCTTTAAATAAAAGCTTTCAAAATGCTGTAATATATCATTTCCTCTGGTTTTATTAATTACAGTCTACACAGTCCTTTGCAGGTAATTTGAGATAGCTACTGCAAAGAACTGACATTTTACATTTAAGAAAGACGCTGCCAACAGAGAAATCGGTCAGCTTGGACACTGAATATGAAAGGAAATGTTAAAGGAAATGTAACACCCCCACCCATCCCACCCTCCTATCCCACACACCCATTTGCCAAGCAAATACTGACCTGGACCACATGTAAAGATACAGAATTGAAGTTTAGCAAGCCTCACCACAATATAAAATTGATTTTGTTGATCAAAATGACTGCTAATAGAGAAATTTAACATGTTGAAAAGTGATACTACTCTTCAATAGCACTTTACTGTAAAATAGTGGTATGGATACTGATTACTGTAAAATAGTGGTATGGATACTGATTACTGTATAGATACAATGGATGCCTTTGATACAACTGCTTCCAGAGCAGTAATCGCTAACATGTAGAAGGATCTAACATTCAAGACTCAGTAACCTGTCATGAAAGCCCTCAGGCCTTGCTGTTTTCAGTTCCATTACTTCAGTAAAGAAATATCTCAATTCTTTACGCTACTGGCATAAAACTCATCATAGTACCTTACATAATTTCTTCAAAAAGGAAAAATATATTTAATTAACACCACAGAACGAAGTCTTTGTCTAAATAAATTATAAAAGCATTCTCTAAATCTATATGAAAACAGTGATTGTAAGAAAATAATTTGCCTTCAATTTTTGTTATCACTGAGAAGACCTCTGTCTTCTTGTCACTAGCAATAATGTAAAAATCTGATTCCACTCAACCTACAACATGTAAGCATGTTTAAAACCTTATTGTCTATCTGTGATTGCTTCCTCTCCAGTTCCCAGAACAGAATATAAAGTCTCCATATTCAAGTAGGAAATGTACAGAGGAAGGTGCTAAGAACAATAAAGAATTGTGGAATAGCTTCTGGCTGGGGAATGCCTGAAGAGTGCTAGGTGTGTTTTCTAGCACCTGCAGTGGTGAAGTGAAGCCACCAGGTGCAGGTTTAAGAGAAATGAAAGGTGGTTGGTTTTTCTTTCTTAAGGCATACGGTATGGTGAAAATGCCTGACAGAGGAATTTTTTTAAAAGCAATTACACAAAAATCCAGAGAGGCAGGTAAGTATGAAAGACTGACAGACCAGTTAGTCTTTGACAATTGCTGAACGCTGGAAGAATATTTGGGAAAGCAGTACTTGTTAGTACAGTACTTAATTTTTACACATACCCCTAGGCAACTACCAATAGGAATTCCTCTCTCTACCCTCAGAGATAGGAATCTGGGAGTGATAAGTCATTTAGCCTAGCCCAGTACAGCCATTCCTATAAACTCTGTCTCCAAAACCTCTTGTATTATTTGCTACATGCCAAACAGAGTAGCTTTAAGCTACAAGTATGAGCATAATTTGTAATGCTTATAATTTGTACTAATATCACTAATCAAGTATCTTTTTTCAAGTGTAGTATACAAACCCCAAACAACTAAGCAGCCTAAAAAAAATCAAAATGGTTTCCAGAGGTGTAGTCAGGTCAACAGCACAGGATAGCAGCTGTTCCAAACAGTCTACTTCCAGGTCAAATGTGCCTAAAAGCTGAGAAGCTCCCACTGCATCCCGGCCAAAAGTAGTTAGTTGTCATTCTGATCACTATCACATCTCAAACTCTGACCTGTGTCAAAGTATTTCATTTATTTTATTCCACCTAGTCAATTTAAAATAAAGATTGCCATTCAGCTTGAGTTGTCAAATAAAAGAACACTTTGAGACACTTTGTATTGCAGTTGCTCAGTGCTTTGAACAATAAAGCTTTTTTTTTCCTAGCAGTCTGTCACCAAAGTTGCTTACTTGTTCTTTATGAAATCTTAATCTAGAAAACAATCTGTAGAGCAATTCCAACATTTATCATGAACCCTTAGGTCATCATGATTAAAAAGAAGATTTATTAGGTATCTGTGTAGGACCTACATGACTCATTATTCTAAATAAAATCCAGAATTACTGGAGTATCTTCTCATTAAATTGGCCTGTAACTATATTTGAAATTACCTATGTATTAAAAAGTCAGCTTGTAAAATGCCTTGAAAACAATTTCAGTTGTTGCCTATTGCAGTTTTTGCTATAGATAGATAAAAAAGTAATGATGAAAACTCAGAATAGCACAATATTCCACAACAACTGAATAATTACATACAACCAGAATCTATAAAACTTGACTATTTTTAGGTTAGATCACACTTGGGGCTTATGTCTTTCTGTGTGACAATGGTTGCTTAATTAGTGCATGTTTAATCAATGGAAGCAATAGCTATGCACAAGATATGCTGACCTGAAAGCCCTATTAATTTTTCTCTGACAAAAAAGGTTCTGACTACTTTTTGAAGAAATGAAGCTCTTAGTGAAATATTGCTTTCAAGAATATAGTATTTGCACTTTTAAGAATTAAATACAATTGCAATAAACCCCAATACTGATCTAGTGTCTAACAACCCAGAAAGATTCAAATCAATAATTTTAAGTGACAAGCTTTCCTACCATTCAACCGAGTTCTGCAACTAACATAATGATGTATCAAAAATACCTGAAAATAGAGCTTTTTCTTGCATACTTTTGTATGAAAAATCCATTAAGACATCCCCTTAAATCCATGTATTTCCATTTTGACCTCCACTTACATATCCCAAACTTACAACTTCCTTGGCAACCAACCTGCTCATGTTCAGTGTATGAGTTCTTGTTTTCACAGGTGTCAGTATTCTTATGTCATTAGGCTGGGGGGAGTTCTCTTCCCCTTGTTGAAGGAAGAATGTTTCTGACGAAAGGCAAGTAAGATTGTTATTTGCTATTTTTCTGGGTAGTGTGT